TAGAAACGTTGCGTCACTGTAGTCATGTGACTCGCTGACGCAACAATATCAAACACTAGAAGAACGATTGTAATTCTATTTGTAATAGAACATTACGAACAGCCTTTTCAAATTTTGCAACACTAAACTCTTTAGGTAGTGTATTGGAAAGTTGAAGATTCAGAAAATGCACCATTACAAACAGTTGAATGTTTTACGCGATTTTCACAATTACTTTAATTTTCAAATTTCCAATCGCATTTAGTTTGTATTCTTCAGTTAATTATCGTTTATGTGTGTTTCTTTCATCTAACTCTCTCTTGGTGCAGTTTGCATGCCGTTTTATAAAGTATCTATGCTTATTTAATTTTCCAAGTGTTTATATCGCTTCCAGTTTCTTCACGTTTTGAACATTTTCTAGTCATATTTATTGCTTTTCATGTTATTCGTAGCTTACTCTCTTTTAACATGCTTTCTCTATCTAAGTATCATGTAGCGTGGTTTCTTTTGGTATCTATAATTTTGAGTTTTACTAAGAGTTAGATGTCATTTTTTCGTCGTTTACGTGCTTTATATACGAAGGTATCGAGTTACGTGATTTCTACATGGTTTAGAGTGTTTTCTACAGCAAGCTATCATTTTTTAAATTAGCTGTTGTTCTACGCGTTCTGTTTTTCCCTTTCTCTATTTTATTAACACTATTTATATAAGCTATTTAGGGAATACAAGAATTATGGTGCTAACCTAACTATATCAAACACCAAAAGAACGATTATAATTCTATTTGTAATATAACATTAGGAACAGTCTTTTCACATTTTATAACACTAATATACGTTATGGTTGTTTCTTGAATTAACAATGCTCCTGGGATTTGTTATAGAATAAACTTTATGTTTTTTCACCAGTTAACAGTACTTCTGTAAATTGTTATACAATATACATTATGTTTTTTCACCAGTTAACAAAGCTTTTGCAATTTGTTATACAATAAACGTTATTTTTTCAACCAGATAACAATGCTTCTGTTCAATAAACATTATGTTTCTTTCAACGGATAGCATTGCTTCTGCCATATGTTATACAATAGACGTTATATTTATTTTCCCACTGAACAATACTTCTGTCATTTGTTATAGAATAAACGTTGTTTTTCTAACAAGTTAATAATGTTTTTGTGATTTGTTATACAATAAACGGTATGTATGTTTCACTAGTTAACAATGCCTCCGTAATTTCTTATACAATAAGCGTTATGTTTGTTTTCCCACTGAACAATACTTCTGTCATTTGTTATAGAATAAACGTTATGTTTGTTTTACCAGTTAACAATACTTTTGTAATTTTTATACAATAAACATCATGTCGTTTTCAGCAGTTAACAATGCTTCTGTGAATTGTTATATAATAAATGTTATGTTTGTTTCACTGGTTAACAATGCTTCTGTGGTTTGTTATGGAATAAACGTTATCTTTGTTTCAGATGTTAACTATGTCTCTGTGGTTTATTACACAATAAACGTTATGTTTCTTGTAGCAGTTAACAATGCTTTTTTTGTAAACGTTGTTTTCTTCATCAGTTAACAGTTTTTCTGTGAATTGTTTTAGAATAAACGTTATGTTTGTTTCACCTGTTATCAATTCTTTTTTGATTTGTTATAAAATAAACGTTTCTTTTTTTTAAACCGGTTTTCAATGCTTCTGTGATATGTTATAAAATAAACGTTATGTTTGTTTCACCAGTTAATAATACTTTTCTGATTTGTTTTATATAATTAACGGTATGTTTGGTTCACTGATTAGCACTGCTTCTGCAATATGTTATAGAAAATACGTTATATTTGTTTTACGGGTTAACAATGCTTCTGTGATATGTTATATTTGTTTCACCAGTTAACAATGCTTCTTTTAAATTTTTATACAACGTACGTTATATTTGTTTCACCAGTTAACAGTGCTTCTTTGAATTGTTATACAATATACATTATGTTTTTTCACCTGTTAACAATGCTTCTATGATTTGTTATACAATAAGAATTATGTTTGTTTCAACTGTTAACAATGGATCTGTGGTTTGTTATGCGATAAACGGCATGGTTGTTTCACCAATTGGAAACTGGTTTGTTTTTCACCACTTAACAATGCTTGTGTGATTTGTTATGCAATAAACGACATGTATGTTTCACCAATTAACAATACTTCTATGATTTGTGATGCATAGACCTTATCTTTGTTTCACTGGTTAACAATATTCTGTGATGTGTTATGGAATAGACGTTATGTGTGTTTCACGTGATTTGTTATACAACAAACGTTATATTTGTTTCACCTGTTAACAATGCCTCGGTAATTTGTTATACATAAACATTATGTTTGTTTGAAGAGTGAGGAATGCTTCTGTTATTTGTTATACAATAAACGTTATATTAGTTTCACCAGTTAACAATCCTTTAACTTGCTATGCAATAGGCGCAATATTTGTTTTACAAGTTAATAAAGATGTCGTCTTTGAGTGACATTGTATTAGTTTTGTCGGTCAATTACGTTTATATCAAGTGTATACGATGAAATTATGTGCGTCCGTTTCACAGGTTTATAAAACACCTCTTTACGGTGATTCATGTCGCTAGTGTCTCCTGTCGTTGTGAATGTTCCTGATATGACGTTACTATTTTCCTGTTTGCTACTTGTACAACGTAACAGAGAAACGACCAGTGCCATTTTAGTTTCCACTTCAAAATGTAGATCGATAGAAATAAACGATGATTCATTTTGTATCAGTAAATTACAGTTCCTAAACCTCCGTACAGTGTTTATATATTTATATGACAAGGTTTTTCTGACTTTTAAAATCGTTTTCTCTTTGGTTATGACAGTATTTTTTGATCTTGATTAATTCCGTGTGAAAACAACTTTAACAACACACAAGTTAACTTTTATTTCTTGTGAAATAGCATTCTAGCTCAAGATAACACAGGCAACAAAGGGCTATTTCAACGTTCATTTTTCATCATTTAACTAGTTCAGAAAATAATCACTTCACAATCATTTATACAACCCTAACAGATAATCAATAGTTCAGTTAAGTACAATAAACCAGTTCAATCATTCTTATAATGTTTTCAGTAAAACTGGGTGCACACACTTATTTAAATCATATTTTTAGAAAAAAATTAGTATCTAAAAAATATGTTCATAAGTCTTCTAAAATATAACTGATGAATATTATTCAAGATACAAATGCATTTGTTAATTTATTTCCTAATATTTCATTACCAAGTTACTTCAAAGATAATTTAAAAATACTGATTAAGTTAAGTTTTAATATCTCCATCTTATTATCATTTGATCTAAAAGTTCTCCAAAGTAGTTTTCCATGTAAAAATATACAGCTCCAAACAAAATATCTATACACAATCCTATAACCTTTATCAGATTATGTACAACTAGCTGTATGTAGACTGATGACTTTGTTATATCTCATTTCATACGAAAACTAAGATTAATGTCATCATTATTTGATTATTTGAATAGTTGAATATATTTATTATAAAATTACCTTTTAGGAGTTTTGTTTTGTCATTCAACTATAATCGTGACTAATTTCTGATCTCCTGGCGTCACTAGGAACAGGTTTGAATCAGCAATAAACATTCAGGTCATAAAACGAACCCAGTTTGGAAATATTGGTCCCAACATGAAGTTTTTTCCTAGCTAAATCCTTTTAGAGAACAATTCGAATGGACAGTTTAAAGTAGTTTGATGAAATCAACCACTTTAGCAACATATAATTGAAACATAATCTCAACCATCGTAGTAACATGTAATTCAGACATGATCTCAACAACCTTAGCAACATGTAATTCAAACATCACTATAATCAACAGGGAAAAAAATCATAAACATATACTTTTTATTTATAAATCTTCAAAATAACTTTTTACAGTCTCAGTAGTTTTCCTCTTTCTTAAGATATAATGTGATTTTTTTTTAAATAACTTCATGAAACTTTTTATAGTTATTTTAATTTCCCCCAGAATGTAGGGGTTCAGTATGAGAATAAGATTGTTTACTTTGTTCACAGTTATCCTTTTGGAAATTGTATATCAGCAGTTACTTTTTTGTTTGTAGTTTCAATTAAGTTAAAAACTGCCTAGCAATATAAAACAAGAAAATCTTAAATGTAATCTTAAAAAAACTACACAATAAGAGAAGGGGGAAGCAGCTGAATTAAAAAAAATAAACTTTTGGCATTTTGTCACTTTCTCATTTACATTTCAGTTAAATTTGCCGATAAATATAAAACAATAAAATCTTATATAAGATTTTGAGGACAAGAAATTGAAAAAATAAACTTTTGGCATTTTGTCACTTTCTCATTTACATTTCAGTTAAATTTGCCGATAAATATAAAACAATAAAATCTTATATAAGATTTTGAGGACAAGAAATTGAAAAAATAAACTTTTGCATTCCTTGAAAATTGTAGTTGGAAGTTTTGTAAAATTATCATCACTTTTAAATGCCTCGGAGATCAGAGCTTTATTTATATATATTTAAGTAAAACGTTATATTATAAATCGTGTTATTTTTCAAGAAACACTCAGTAACTGTTTTATTACTTATCTTTTACAAAAATAAGCACTAAAAGATATTCAGGCGCTTAATAATCATAAAGCAAAGTTTCTAGCATTACTGACTGATCTATTATAATTCACCTTAAAATTTCGGTTAACTATTTAGATCTATATATGTTAAAGATAAACAACCGGCTTTAGACATCAAGCTATATTTATACATTAAGAAATTTGGATTAAACTGAGTTATTTTCTTTTCCTTTCAAGATGACACTCCTTTCATCGTATTTCACCGCCAGAGGTAACAGTAACGTGATCAATGCACCGAAGAGCATGGTCGATCCGAAGAAGGCAAAAACAGCCAAATATTCCCCGGTATAATGGTAGAGATTACCTGTCAGTTGAGAAAAAAGTGAAAATACACGAAACAAAAAACAGTAACATCTTCCCCTTGACAATTACAAAACAAATGCTTTATAATACGGGCACTGAACAGAAATGTTGGTCCTCGTATTACCATGACTACCTCTTTACATGGTTTTATGATTAAGAACATCCTAGGTTGTACTTTTCAGGCCATCCGTAATTACATGCTGATTCTTCAGCATCAAATGTCTGCGGTAATAACGACAAGTTTTAATATTACTATCTTTAGAAAGCACTGTTTTCAAGTGGAATCACATTTCTTTATAAAGAACTGTCTGGAAAGTACTATTTTCAAGTAGAGTAATATTTCTTTATAAAGAACTGTCTGGAAAGTACTATTTTCAAGTAGAGTAATATTTCTTTATAAAGAACTGTCTGGAAAGTA